CATTGTGGAGACAGCAGGTGGTGCCGGTTTTGCAAGTCTGAGCGTGCCACCAAGCTCCATGGGAACAAGGGGGATGAGAGAATGCAAAACATCTGTTATCAATGGTCGATAGCTTGGTTCTGGTTGAACGCATAATACAGCAACAGCAGCAACCTGCAAAGAGGATATCTAAGTATAGCACACAAATTCCATTTGCTGCAAATCCAGATCAACTAACATTAACATCCTAGAATCACAAACCTGATATAGGTGCTTTAAATCCATTGTGTTTATGATAACAGGGTCTACAATGTTTGGAAGCTTGGATCTATCCGTGAGTTGAGGCATCGCCTGCATTTCATTTATATAGTGAGCTTCTATTAAAAAGCTTATGGGACTTGAGGAAAACCAAGTGTTATGTGTTTAACAGCCAGGCCTACCCATGTGACAATAGATTGGCATTGAGATGGTGCCAGTTTCTCCACGGGCTTCCTTCCAAGTAGAAGCTCCAGTAAAACAACTCCAAATGCATAAACATCACTTTTATCTGTTAATTTACCTATAAGGGAAAAAGGAAAGAAAAAAAGAAATTCATGATCACCAAAGTAAAACTAACAAGGCAAAGACACGCTATTTGCCGAAACTTAATGGCCTATTAATTTAATGATCTTTCCAAATTTAGAATTGTTCAATAAGATGATAGACCCTCTAGTTCTCGAATCTGAAGTAGCAATATAAGAAACATAATTTGCCATCTGAAGAATCAAAATTTCCATACAAGAAAAGAAACTAAGAAATTCAAGTGTGTGTACCATCTAAAAGGTACTCAGGGGCTACATAACCCAAAGTTCCTGAAAGTTTAATGTTGTTTCTATTCTGGGCCCCATCGGGCACAGCAAGACCAAAGTCTGAAAGCTAAACAATGGGAGAAAACGAGAGGCTTAGTGAATTTTCATAATATGGAACTGATAAAGTAAGTTAACAATATAATAGTAGAATAGGATAGAAATAGATCAAAGACTGAATTTTCTAGAGTTTTTACCTTGGCATTGAAGTTGGAATCCAGAAGAATATTAGATGATTTCAGATCTCTATGAATTATTTGTGGATGGCAGTGCTCATGCAAAAATTCTAATCCTCTGGTCAAACAGTTGCAATATATCAATATCCAACATCAATTATCAATTATCAGTATTAAATATCCACAAGGGAGCGTCTGTTTATGTACAAACGCACCTTGCTACATCAAGGGCAATTTTCATCCGAAGATGCCAAGTTAATGCAGATCCATGCGAAGGCCCTAAAGACATTAAAATAACAAAGGGGAAATTTTAGAGTGTACTTTATTTTCCATCATCCACATCTGAATCTTACATGATTTTCAACTTTATTATAATGTTTTTACCGTGCAATTGAGTTTCCAGAGATCCATTCTGCATCAGTTCATAAACAAGAAGCCTGGTTTCAGCGTGAATGCTACAACCCAACAAAGAAATTATATTCGGGTGCTGAATATTGCTCAGCAACTCTACCTCAGTCTGCAAATTCAAGAACGAGTAATCAAGTTAGGATAGTGAGATCTGCAGTACAAATGGCATCAGAACAAGCACAAACAAACTATCGAGATATTTGGTACCTCAAATTCTTTTATGGCATCAGAACTTCCCCCTTCGAGTCTCTTCACAGCCACACACAAGTTCTCTTCTAACTTAGCCTTGTACACACATCCAAATCCCCCCATACCCAAGATTTCACTTTCGCTGAAATTGTTAGTAGCTGATTCTAACATCTTGTACTCCATTGTAGTTGCTGCAGATCCCTTTCTATAACTTGCCTTGAAAGTATTGTATTTACCCAAGAACGGAAATGGAGCTAATGCAAGCCCTTTTGAAACATCTTTAAAGAAAATGAAAAACAGAAAAACCTCAGTGAAAGATCATGAAATTGAATATTCAGAAAACATAAAAGAAAATAATCACAAAAGAAAGTACCTGAGCTATGACTCCTTTTCTCCTTAGATTTGTTTATGTACTTCCTATGATAAACCCAGAAACACAAAAGAACCAAAATGATTGCTCCCATAGCTGTGGAAGCAGCAATTAGAGCTACAAGCAGCTTCTTGTTTGAACCCATGCCGTGCTTTCCTCCTCCTACTTCAATACCTGATTATTCAGTAGATTTACAGCTAAGAATTGACATCTTGGACTACAAATATGACAATAATCACAGTAATAAAGCAAGAATATATTGTTCAAGTTTGAAGGCAGTGATAGTAACAGAATTATAGTAGTTTTTCAGTGTCGAGAACGGAGTCGAAGGGAAGGGACAAAGGGCCTAGATATATCAATTATCACACAATGATGAATGGGTACCAAGAAAATACAACTTTTATATATATATGCATTAAATGCTTTGAAAATGGTGGCCCTAAGTTTGAGTTTTTCAAATTTCAATAATTTGAAATAAGACAAGAATGAGCAAAAGAAATATCACCAAGAAAAGTTAGAAAAAAAAAACATTGACTGAAGAAATTGTTAGTACCTGGAGAGAAGGCTGCCATTGATGAATACACTGGAGAAATCTGTGGAGCAGTTATTGAAGAAAAAGGAGAGTCTGCAGTGGTGGTGGCATCTACAACATTGAATATCCAAATCGGCACATGAAGAAGAAAGTAGAAAACAAGATTATTCATTCTTTTTCTTTTTTTTTCACTTCGTTTCAAATTCTGATTCTCCCTTTGTCTGTTTTAAACAGATATGGAAAGGAAAAATAAAGTGACTTTTGAAGACGGTGCCTACACATGAAAGTTTTGGATTATCTGTCTTTTAAGGTTTGAATCTCAAATCTCCCCTCTCTCGTTCACCCTATGGGCGGTAAGCCAAAAGAAGACAAAAGGCAAATACAGGATGAATTGAGGTTAGTAACAAGTGATTCCATAATTCAATTATTTTATGATGTGGATTGGTTGCAGTTGGGTATGACCTGTATAATATTAAAACTAAAAATAAGCAACGACAACAAAAAAAAAAAGTGTGTTGAAATTGGGATGGATCACTAATCAACTAACTTAAGTGGGATAACTTCCCAGCTAACCCTTTCTTTTCCATTTCTTATTCAAATGTTACTTGTAAAGCATAAGAATTAATCGCTAATAAATAATTACTGAGGTTTTTTTATTGGCCACCAAATCTGGAAGAAAATAGATTCAGCCTTGCTCCTAAGACTCAAGCTATGAGTGACTATTGCTTTTTTGTGGTTGCTCCGATGAATAAGTGGAGCACTTACTTTTTGCTAGCCAGTTTGAATCTAAGCTGACCGCTAACAGCATAAATCACTACAATGTATAAAAGAGCAAACTTTATTACTGTTCATAACGCGTCATTATGATGCTATGCTGATATCATTTTTCCAAAAAAAAAAAATGGACCTTAAAATGACGTCATTTCAAACCAGTAAAATGCTATCGTACTGCCACTTCAGATTTTACACGCAACTATCAACTCATTCCTTTCTCTTCTCTCACAAAATCATTTTCTCTCTCCAGTCATTTTCATTGCCATGTATTCAATTTTCACCTACTCCACTTCCTCCCCAAAACCATTGCAAAATTTCTCCTTTCTCCATTTTTCTTTTCTATATTTCTTCTCACAATTATCTGAAAACTATATGAAGTGCAAGTTCTTGCGTTAGGATCTCTTTTATTACTTCAATATGGAAGGAAAAAGATATCTTCGGTAGGGTTTTGAAAATGTGCATTTCTTTCTTCGGTCAATTGAATGTTTCGTTTCAAGTTTTTTTTATTAATAGTCATATTATTTAATTTTTATCTCTCTTAGAATGCGCCATCAATTTTGAGCTTCCTACATCTAGACCGTGAGTTTGTTTTCTTCGTTTTGGGTTCGTTCTTCTTGGTGGTTTTGCTCGGTTGTACATTTACAAGTAGTTTGAATTTCTCCATTTTTTTTTTGGGCTTATATTTTGTTGGGGGTTTTGATTTTTTCTAGGTTTTTGGTGTATTATATATGAAATCATTTTTATATTTTTCTAAGAAAAAATTTCAAGTTCTGTTGATTTTTACTTCATATTTCGTTGAATTTGTTTAGTTTGTGGAATTTGATTGTTGTATTATACTTAACCTTCTAATTTATTGTACTTGTACCTCAAAATATAAATCAGATTTTAATTGTTCTTCATAGATAAAAGGATTTGATGTTGTTTACTATTTTTTTCTAGCTACCTACTAATATTGAAGTCATCGAAATATCTTCTAAATATTTATATTATTTAAGTTAGAAAAATATTAGATGGCAAATTTTGATTGTTTCTTGTTCGTTGCTCTTTTTTTTTACAAGAGTCCAGTTTATCTTGTGTTTCTTATAACTTGAATGAATGAATTCGATATACAAAAACTGTTTCGGTTATTGGCCAATTCATTCACGCCTTTTAAATAATTTTTTTTTACACATAATAAAATTTTGAAATTAATTGCACTATCTTTTGTACTTAACTAATGTATATTCTTCATCCCATATTCCAAAAGAAGGGAACAACCTCANGTACTTAACTGTAGTATATTCTTCATTCCATATTCCCAAAGAAGGGAACAACCTCAATCGAAATTACGTTTAGATTCATGTTTACCATTTCATGAAAGAGAATGCTCACAATGAGGGGTATTTGTATTGATTATGGTGGTCAATACTCGAGACCACCACTATGGTTTGAATATTCCGAACTCAAAATGAATAGTGTGACTACATTTTTAAAGCTATTTTGCTTTCATTCTGAGACCTTGAATGCTTAATTGCGTATCCTCTTCCATTATCTACCACATACCTATTTATGTTCGAAAACAAATCTAACATTCGTTCTATGTATTGCAGCGCAAACCATTTTGGATAAAATGTCAATTAGAATTGAAGGCAAGAGTTCAATCACTTTGATTTGTGGCTTGTGACACTTGTGGTTTGATGTCTTTTGCTCATTTCAATGAAATGTATTTTTGCAATTATTGCAAATACATGAATGCAAGAGCAATTCCAAGGTAATTACTCTTAATGCAATACCATTTACCTAAAATAATAATTATGTATATGATGTAACTAATAGTAAATTTAAAATGTCTATAACACTTATTTTGTTTTTTCTTCTCAGAGCAAGATGCAATGTTCGTATTGCAGATGATATCGGAGCTATTTCTGCATCATTTTTTGGTGAATTAGCTGAAAAATTCCTAAAACTACTACCTGAAAATTTGATGAAGGATTATATAACAGTAAAGTATTCCTTATGATCTATTACATTTGCTAATATTTCCTACTTAAATATATTGATAGGATCTTCATTCTCATCCTATGATTTTTGTTCCACGATGATGATTAACACTTACCCACTAGATTAGAATTTAGTGTTCGATTACTTTGCCCTTTCTCCATTCTATGACTACACGTACAATGACGAGCAGCTCCAACTCTGCTCCATCCACCCCCTTGACTACTCTCAACTCTTGTAAGTAGATAATATATACATATAAATTCATACTTACATAGCCGAATGGTTGGTGTATTTATATATATTGCGTTTCTCCTAATTTGGATGTCATAATTTGCCCTTTTCTGCTTAAATGATTGTTTTCCATAACTAAATTATAGTTCTACTTAATTGGTAAATTTGAATCGTACTATATGGTGCAATTCAAAGCTAAAATGATTGAGGGAAAATAAATTAAGAATTTTGAAGTGGGGGAGTTCATTTTTATGATATATTTCAATTGTTTTAATTTAATAATTGTAGATGTTTTACTTTTTGAAATTTACATTAACCCAATGGACAAAGCTCCACTATTTGTACGTTATTATTAGTCTTCTTTTCAATTCATTTCTGCATAAACTTGCACAGTTGTGCATTAGTGCACATTTATGCGTCTATAGGATGATAATGAGCACTTAGCTTCTACTTCCAAAGCCTTGTATGGACTTTATGTTTTTACGGATCACAAATTATGACGCATCATCATACTAAAGTGTTTTTTCGCTTAACAGGGAACTGAATGATAAACTGATTGTTGGGAATATTCCACCAGAACTTGGGAAGCTCGCAGATTTATTTGACTTGTATGTCATTTTTCTTATGGCTGATTGGTATATTGTGTGTACCCACTTTTGCTAAGAATTTGTGTTCTTTCATTTTTTTTTTTTTATCAAGCACACTCATGGTTATTGACTACCAGTTAGTCTTATTTTACATGGTTGCAGCCGTTTATTTGTGATTTCATCAATGTGGTTTTGATGTCAAGCAGCAATCTTGTTTAAAATATATAGTTGCGTCTCTTACTCATTTGTCCTTTTCAATGGTGTAAACTTCGTACTAGCTTGATGATATTACTATACTGCAATTACCTGTTAATATTATTGTGTACTCTTATAATCTAGAGCAAGAATGTTGTGAAATAGTTACATATAAAATTTGGTTTCATGTAATGCTTTGACAACTTTTGAAACAATCTTTTTCTCTTTTTCTTCATTCACCAATCATAAGCACAAAATAAAACAATCAAATGCAATAAAAAGTAGAAGAAGATTGAAGGAACAAATAAATGCAAACATATTCTCTACCTACTTATACATATTTTTATCTCGAATTTCATGAATTTTATTTTATTTTATTTTTTTGCAAATTACCCTATGGATGTCAGAGCAATTTAACCAAGAGTTATCATTGACCGAAGAAATTCCTTCTGGGCTCTTCAATGCTTTGTTTGAGTTTTCTAGTTGTTGGCAAAAAGATGCAGCATACACAAAAACCTTTGTTTTTAATGGAATGTTCATAACACTCCACATTTGCACCTGAAAAATCTTAAATGGTGGTGACTGATCACGTAAAAAAAGAAATCGCATCATCATGGGAGCCCGCTACATTGGCAAGGTATAAACGACTAAGCGTAATGGAGACGCTACTATTATTATGATTGCAAGCTATTTTTAAGCTTCTGTTCTATTGGTGTTTCGAAAATTTGAATCTTTTTTTGCTTTTTATTCCTTGTTTACAGAAGGGGTAGATAATTTTTGTGTGTGGTTGAAAGTACATTGCGCACCCTTATGTTTGGAGCTCCTGCTAATAGTCNTTTACAGAAGGGGTAGATTATTTTTTTGTGTGGTTGAAAGTACTTTGCGCACCCTTATGTCTAGAGCTCCTGCTAATTGTCAGTGGCAATGTGATGTTTATGCTAATCTTGCTTTTTCAATTTTTTATGGAGTTGGTAGTATGGTTGGGCAATTGTGCACTTATGTGTGAAGAAAATGGATGTTGATAGAATACTAAGAAAGCTTGAACACCTTTGCAATGGCTTGCCCCATCTGTGTACCTTTCTTTGAAAATATATCTTCTGAACTAAGGAGTACGAGATCCGCTAACTAAATCCTACTACTGTCATACATCCTTCAAATATGCTACATATAATTTTGATTGTTACTGCATTTTCAAAAATTATGTGGACATGAAAAATTGTTTCCTTCTACTCTTTACGTTATTAATCATCTAAAATTCTATATAAGAATATATTATTTACGAAGAAGCCTTATAAATTTTGACCTAAAGGTGGTTGAGTTCTACTATTAAATATAATTGGATGGATCCATGATACAATTTGCTACCTTCGTATTATATTTTAAAATGTATTGTTTTTCTAAGGTTCCTCCTTTGTTATAAGTTCATATTTTTCTTTCAAGACCATTAAAAAGTTTGGCACGCATATTATTGTTGGTATAGAGATGGGTGGGAAGGGTGTAATATTCATAAAACAATAGCACTCTTCTTCACTTCAACTAGCTGATGTGCAGAAAAGATTGAAAATGATGGCTGATAAAATGTTTCTATATGCAAATGAACAATATGGAATGGATACAGAACAAGTATACCAGACTGAGAAGGTTTGAAATTATTTTCTCTACATTCAATTCATGCCAAGGTACAACTTTGAAAACTTAGAAGTTGTTTTAATTTTTTCTCATCTGCACCTCTGTTAGTATTCAAAATTTTCTTTAGGTATTCAATTCAATTTATGCAAAGAACATAAATTATGTATCTTATCTCGAAAGAATTGGATATCAGTGAGAACCAGTTTTCTTGATAGAATTTGGTGCTACAATTGAAGTTTGTCACTTTTTTTCTCCCCTTTCCATTGTTTTGCCAGCTTGGAAATTAAAATTTGGACGATCTCAATGGGTCGTTAGGT